AGCTATAAAAAAGGATCTCTTACCCTTTGAGACAGCATGGATGGACCTGGAGACTATTATGCTAAGTGAAATAAGGCAATCAGAAAAAGAAAAATATCACATGATCTCATTTATTTGTAGAATCTAATGAACAACATGAATTGACCAACAAAATAAGACCCAAGGCATAGAAAAGACTGACATATGTCAGGCAGTGGGAGGGAGGAGAAGAAATAAACCAAAGAACTTACATACTTACTAGAGCCCCAATGCACAAAATTTGTGCAAGAACCTTTCTTCCCCCAGCTGCCAGCACTGGTTTCCCTCTGGCACCCGGGACCTGGGCTGCCCTTACAGCCCTGACTTCATCTGGAAGGTCGTCCAGAAGGATGGCCAAAAGGATATCCAATCTAATTAGCATATTACACTTTTATTATTATAGATTACAGGCCCAGTGCATGAATTCGTGCATATGTGGGATCCAGCCAGTCTGGCCCCAATCGGGGCAGATTGGAGCTGTGTCTTTCAGGAGGAGGAGAAGACAGCAAGAGGTTGGCTGGCCAATCCACCCTGCTCAGAGCCCAGTCAGGGCTGGGCTGGCTGGGGGAAGGGGCTACAGGTGATTGCCCAGCAAGCCCTACCCCCAATTGGGGTGGGGGGCCAATTGGGGGTCAGTGGCCAAGAGAGGGGTTGTGGGAAGTTGGCCAGCAGCCCCACCCCCGATTGGTGGGGGGGGAGGGGGCATTGAGGCTGCAGGAGATTGGCTAGCCAGCCCCACCCCCTATTGGGGTAGGGTGGGGTGGGCATTCAGGTGCAGGGCCGGCCACAGGAGGAGTCGTGGAGGACACAATGGGAAATTAGCTACATATAGGATGATTAAGCAAATATGTTAATATATTGAAGAAAACAGGAGCCAAGTTTCTCTCTGTCAAATAAGAGAATTATAAATTGGAAAAGAAAGAAAATAAGAATGAAGCCTGTGGTACTGAATTTGAATCAAAGATATCAGATTTCCTTTTATTATATAGAAGGAAATATAAGTGAAATAGCATATGTAGGTGTGTACATACATAATGTGTGGGGGGATTATGTGTGTGTATTGTAGAAAGCGTTGTTTAAATCTTAGGATCACACAAGAGTGGATTTAAAGCCTCAAATAATTTCACCTAGAACCCATCTCTCTCCATCTCTTGACTGTCATTCATCTTGACTTCATTTTTATTCTCAGACTCTACAAGGTATCAAGATGGTTGTCATTAGCTTCCAAGCCAATTTCCAAATTCAAATCCAGGAGGAAAAGACATTACTTTCTACTCAATAATTTTTTTTTTAAAGCCTCATTGCATATCATGGGCTCTGACTGGTCTTGTGCTTACCTTGTAGAATCACGATGGAACAGGGAATGCAGTGCATTGATTTGCTAAGGCTGAGCCACGCCCACTTCTGGAGGCCCAGGAGGAATGAGCTCTGTCTAAAGCACCTGGATTGGTTGTGTGGGACAGGATGGTTCCATAGAGGAAAACTGGGCTGCTTTTGCTAGAAGAATGATGAGTAGGTCCTGGGAAGCAAAATGGATTTTTACTATTCAGTTCATTCCTTTTGGCAGCTGAACATTCCCACACTCCCATTTTCCCATATATTATATATGCCTTAAAACATGTCCAATTCCATATTGAGATGCCATAGGCAACTAAAACACAACCACTTATTCTCCAAATAAAATAATTCAAAGTCTTATCTAGTTGCAACACTGAAATACATGTCTTAAATTATCTGGGTAATTCCACATAATCTAGCAAAACCCATAATCTAGCGCCATAATATGGGCCATAAGAAATAGCTAACACACTCTGAGATTCTGATATTGTTGGACTGTGTTCTCTAACATTCCATTGTCTTGTCAATAAAAGGTCTGAGTTCCAAGATAAAGTACAGATAGCCATTTGACCAGCTGTTTTGCACTTCATATTTAAATGATAAAACTCTCTCTCTCTCTCTCTCTCTCTCTCTCTCTCTCTCTCTCTCTCTCTCTCTCTCCCTCCCTCCCTCCCTCCCTCCCTCCCTCCCTCCCTCCCTCCCAATATAGCCAGTATGGAATGAGAATGAGAGAATCAGATTTCCTAGATAGTCAAATCAACTGGTCATCACACTGTAGCAGCCAGGAAAGTGCAACCACCAGGTCTGCTCTCAAGAAAGAACATGCCACTCAGCTGTGAAGAGTGCAATTAGCCAACAGCCTCCATGAGCAGCCCCTTCAGGACCTACCCCAGCTTGTCAGCTGAGGTCATGCTCTTCCTGGGCAACCCTGCCAGGCAATCATTAAGCATGTCTGGCTTTTTCACATCTAGCCATTTCTATTCAATGCAGGCTACTGTAACTGTAATGTTTGCTAAGGAGCTGACAATTACACTGACCCAGGCTCTGTATGGTCTGCATTGTCAGCTGAAGCCTTTCCCTCCCCAAACCAACTTGCTCCCCCACTTTATCTTTTACATATATTACTCCCAGAAAGTCTTTTTGGGGGGGAGTGGGGACTAGTGCAATGTGTGTGTTTTTCCCCCTGTGGCTTCTTCTGCCACCCCATAATAAATCTTTTGCACTCCTAACTGCATCAGCATCTGCTTCCCAATAGCCTGGAACTGGCACAACATGCTATTCCCAGGATCAAAGTACCTGCGGAACAGAATCAGGAACTAAACTGCAGTTGTGATCTGTCAGTCATCTTCTGCTTTTGTCACCCAGCCTCCAACAACCCTTCTTTAGGGAAGAAACAAGTAGGAAAAACATCCAGTAGTCTCCAATCTATAGTATACATCATACACTGCTTGGCAGGACTAGCAAGATCCCCAACATTGGCAATGGAACAAATTTCTTAATCAGTCAAAATGGTACCTTTTTCTCCATGGCCACATTTAAGGTGGATGTTGCAGAGGATCTCTTCTTTCTGAGATTACACCTCTTTAGCTACTAATAGTGTGTGGCAAGAGCTTTCGAGGTAAAATAACCATTAATCTTTGTTTGCCAGACTTGGAGTTTAGCTAGTTCATGCTTCCATGTAATTATCTGGGCTAATAACCAATGCCAGATGACTAGTTGAGCCTAGAACTGGGACCTACGGGTTTCTGTTTCTTAGCAACAGACTCTGGTGCTCTGTTGTTCTTCAATAACCTTTAGCTTATCGGCCTTCATCTCCACATCTGCTTTGAGTGATTCAAAATTATGTATGGTGCAGGTAGGTGAGGCTAATCGGCTCCAGGCTTGTAGTTCAGCCACATTTTTATAAATGGTAATTGCCCACTTTGTCAGGCAGCAGTACATTAAGAGAGGTGGTTGGATGGGTCTTATGGGATTAAGAGTGTTTTTAAAATATTGATGCCAGCTCTTAGATTTCAGATTTCAGCCACTTTCAACTTAAGCTGGCCTTTTTGGAGCACCATAACATGGGCCATAAGAAATAGCTAATACACTCTGGGATTCTGCTATTGTTGGACTGTGTTCTCTAACATTCCATTGTTTTGTCAATAAAAGGTCTGAGTCTCAAGATAAAATACAGATAGCCATTTGACCAGCTGTTTTGCACTTTATATTAAGAGTTAAGAATTACCAGCTTAAAAGCCAATTGATGATTCTCAGAACTGATGTTTCCATCTCTCTCTGCCTCACCTTCCCCTGTCTCTAAAAGTCAATAAAAACGTATATTTTTTTAAGTGGGTAAATAGTGCAAGCTACCAAAAACTGAGTTTAGCTAGTATGAACTGGTTTTCTAAGGATCCCACCTGACATGTTGAAGCCTTGTATGGTTAACAGGTATTCTTTAGATTATCTCCAAGATGCAGCACTTTATGGGATTTGCCTTAAAATGATTTATTCATTTCTTTTCTACAAATGTTGAAAATGTTAAGTCCCAGGTTTTTATTCACAGTGTTTTGTGCATAGTTACACAAAAGAAAAAAATTCATTTTATTTTTCTTATTTAAGACTCACTCTGAATATTGGAGTTATTGTGTTAATTCTGTAATTCTCCAGGAATATCCTGGGACGGCTCTGTGGCTGATTGGAAAATGGTTGTAGCAGTATTTCTCAATCAGGATTCAATGACACACCTGATTCAGAGCCCAAAATATGGAATCACATAGCCCTAGCTTCAGATTCTAGTTATAACTACTTTCTAATTCAGTGAATCTGGGCAAGTCCCTTAAACTCCCTAAACTTCAATTTCCTAATTAGAAATTTGAGGTAATATCCCAGATGACTGTTATGGGGATTATAAATGAGATGACATACATATAAGGAAATAGAGGAAATTATATTCTCTTGAATTACTCTTGTGATCTAGTGCATGAATTTAGAAGAAATACTTTGATGTCTTTCTTGGGACTAAGACCTTAAGAGTCAAGCTCTGTTATCAAAATATACTGCCCTCTAGGAAGGGTGAATCCTGTTAACTAAAGGCCTTTTGTTTTTCTGAATATTGAGTAGGGTTTGGATATGCAGAGTTTGATGGGTAGCAGCTGAGAGATGGGGTAGTACTGAGAAAGAAGAATCAGTGAGGTTGGTATTGAGGGGTATCAGTGTGTGCTGGAGCTGGCTCCTGTTGACCCCCAAGAGCTGATGGTTGACATCTCTTCCCAGCTCCCATGTTCAGTGACATCATGTTGGTAGTGCAAAATCAAATATGTGAGAATATTTACTCCACAGTAGTGGGCCCTTCCACCCCTGCTGAACATTTACAACCTAACACTGGATCAAATATCCCTACATGAGAGCAGTGAAGAAAGTTGCTTTGGAATGGGGATATCTAAGGGACTTCCCTCCCACCCCCCCACTCCCTCGACTTTTCTTTTTCTCTTGACATCTTTAGTAAAGTCCCTTTTAATCACTATTATTTTTAATTCAAGTGAATTCTGGAAGGAGATGGAGACAAGGATAAACTGCTATCTAAGTACTGACAAATGGTAACAGTAATTGTCTTTATTATTATTCATAACAATGACAAATGGTGCCTTTTCTTTCTCGTGAAGGTGCCAATGGAGCTGCTTTCCTGAACAGAACGTATTTCTTTTCATCTGCTTCATGGCAGGACATGGCTCAGGGCCCTTAATTCTGAGAGGCCATGGCTCTGTTGGCGTCCCACCCATGCAGAGAAGTTCTTCTGAGTAGCAACATGGCAGCTGAAGCCTAGAGGTAGGTATGGCCAAGGGAGAAAGAGAAGGGAGGGGAGGAAGCAGAGAAAGCATCCAGAGCATTCAAAGGCTCCAAGGTTGAAAAAAGGGCCAGTGAACCTGGAATGTGTTAACTGGAGAGAGATGAGGGTTAGATGTAGGTGGAGAGCAGCTGTGCTAGGCCTTCAAAATAGTTAACCATCAAGAGCAGTTGATTGGCCTCAAGGAAATTGTCAGGGATTGCATTGTCAAACTTCCTGATGCTCAACATTGACAAAAGCTTGGCTGACAGATACAATATTAATATAGGATTGCCTAAAGGATATGGAATGCATGGTTGTCTCTAAAAATCTGTGCATTAAGACAGATGAGCTGAGCGCTAAACTGCACTGGGGAAGATACTATGACTTAATGCCACAAGGCAAAATTAAAGGACATGTGGCAGCCAGTATCCAAGATCACCCCAATGACGCTCACCTTTATCTATGCCCTTCCCACATTGAATCCTGCTGACCTGTATAAGCAATAGGATATGGCAGTGTGTGATTTCTGAGTCTAGGAGCTAAAAGACATGATAGCTTTGTCTTTTTCGTTCTTGGATCATTCACTCTGGGGAAGTCAGCAGCCATATCATGGGGAAACTCAAGCAGCCCTATGAAGATGTCCACATGAGAAGGAACTCAGGCCTCTGCCAACAGCCAGCACCAGTGTGCCAGCCATGAGAATGAGCCAACTTGCAGTGAATTCTCCAGTGCCACTCAAGCCTTTGATGACTACCAGCCAAGCTGATGTCTTATCACAAACTCATGAGACACCTCAAGCCAGAATCTCCTACATAAGCTACCCCTGGATTCCTGACCACAGAAACTATATGATAATAACAAATATTTATTGTTGTTTCAAGCATGTAAGTTTTATTTTGTTTTATGCAGCAATAGATTAAAGCAGGCATTATAAAAAACAACAATAACATTATAGCTACAATAGCACTGTTTATTGAGTATTGTTTGTGAGTTATGGCAAGTTACTTAGACTTGCTACACCAGAATATCCTTATCTGTTAAAAAAGACTAATTAATAATATCCATTTTTTTAGAATGTTTATAGCATTAACTGGATTAATAGATGTAGATATTTTTAAAGAAAAAAGGGAATCATAGCGCATAGTAGAAACTTGATTAATATATTCCATCATTATTATTATTTGCTGTTATTATTCTCACTATTCTTTTTCATTTCAATTTTAACCAATCTGCTTCTCCTGATTTTCAAAATTAATTAGTAACAAAATGATCTAGACAATCAAACCATCAGAAACCTAGACATTATCCTTGACTGATTGTATTCTCATTCTTTACATCAAATCAATCATTATGTTCTAATGATTATATCTACTAAATACTTTTATACTAGTTTCTTTAAAAGATTTTTAAAAATTACTTATTAATTTTAGAGAGAGGAGAAAAAGGAGAGGGGGAAATATTGAGTTGTTGTTCCACTGTTGTATATATGTATTGGTTGCTTCTTTTATGTGCCCTGTCTGGGGATGAAACCTGCAACCTTGGCATATTGGGACAGTACTCTACCCAATGGAGCTACCCAGCCAGGGCCTCATACTATTTTCTTTATTCCTACTCCCACTGCCTTAAGTCAAGCTTATATCAATTCCCATCTGGACTATTAAACAAATTTCTAAATTGTTTCTGCCTCTAATCTTATTCCACTTGAAGCTGTTTTTCACACTGCAGTGACTTGTCTACAAAACAAATATGATAAAGTCATTCCCTGGTGAAAACCTTCCACTGGCTCTCTCACAGCTTTATAAAGTACAGTCTCCTTAGAAGGACCAATAAGGCCTGTCAGGATCTGGCCATTGGCCTGGCTCTCCTCTTATTAACACTGTGTATCAAGTCTTAATTCTCTTATTTGTTGTATATGGTGCCTCTCTTTCATGGTATTGATTTTCTTTAGGTGTTTGATGGTCCTTGCTTTGTTTCATTTTTTTCTTTTTCTTTCTTGTTATTATTTGCTGTGTGGGTTTAGATTAAACAGCTTATTTTCAGGTGCAAAGTAAGACTGGTCATCTATCAGTGGGTTCCAGTTTTAATCACAAAAAAAATATTTCTGATGATTGCAGGTGAGAGCTGGATCAAGGTGAATAGTAGGGCCATTCGTACTCTGAGACTGAAGATAAAATACTCTGCACAAAAATAAATTATTAAAGATCACACAGGTGCCTTTCCCACTGCAAACAGGCACTCCATCCTGGTACAGCAAGATCTGCATCCCTAAACTTCTTTGGTGCTAACACTTGTCAAGGCCCAGAGAAACACTTTCCTCATCTTGTGTCCATGACTTAGAAACAAACAAACAAAGGCAATCCTGTGCAAATGACATGAAGGTTTGAAAATTGTGCCCTGTCAATTTCAGAAATAGGTATTGTTTCAGCAGGGAGTATTTGAGAGGCAAACACATTAAAGAAAGAGAAAATATAAATTAATTATTGTGCCAAATTCTTTCTCTCAATGAATGCAATAGTTTCTTGCATAATGAAGGATTCTTTTCTAAGAGAGCTGAGCATCTATTTCTTGCTTGCCTTTGTGGATCTGGAGACTCCCTTGAATTAGCTCACTGTTTGAAACAATTGTATATGACAGCTGAATAAAATTTTGCAATATCAAATAATTCATGTTAATCTTAAATTTACACATAACTGATATGTAGGATAATGCTAATTCTAAAGGCAACTGGACAGACAATTAAAATTGAATTTATGACTAGCTTTTAGTGTATTTTAAAATTAATAACATTTAAATAAAATTTTTCAAAATTAAATTTAAATTTTCTCTTTAAAAATTCAATAATTATTAACTTTAATTTGTAGTTTTTTAATTTACATTTAATAATTTTAAATATTTTAGAATAAAATAACACTATAAAACTTATATGAAAAATGATTTTCACATTTAATTTCGATTTCCCAGGAATTCCTCAACTCTTTTATCTACTATCCACAGCCCTTCTAAATGTATGGTGTCATTATAAATTACTGCTTTTAAAATATCTTTCCTGATATACCACTAGGTGTATGCACAGGAAGGGAAATCATTATTTGTCTTTAGCACGTCATCTTAATCCCAATACATCTACTGACATTTTTAATCTAATTGCCTGGCACTTCTGCACTTTAGAGATACCAGAATGCTTAAGTGCTCTAAACACTGCCTTGTGTTTTCTCATTCTCATGCAAATATTCTTCCCACCTTCATTCACCTGGAAAACTCTTATTTAACCTTCAAAAATCAACCCAAGCATTCTTTATCCAAGAAAGAACTAACCAATTAAATAAATAACATTCTGAGACATCTCAGTTTGGGTTAAGTTCCCCTCCTCTAACATGTGTTTACAGTCTATCTCAGATTTTCAGATAAGTATTTGGACAGCATACTGCAAAATTACTCATTGTTATCTGAAATTCAAGTTTAACCAGGCATCCTGTTTTTATTTTCTAAATCTGGCCACACTAAATATCTCCTTACTGGCTATACTCTATAAATTATATCTTCTTATGTGGGCAACCCTCCCTTGGGTAAGGGAAGTTCCTTGAAGGAAAGGATCATGTCTTTTGAGGGGGGAATTGGGATAATAGAATGGGAAACATCTTTTTTTTATCTCTGTATTCTTAGCAGCTGACAAAATGTCTGACATGCTAGGTTATATTAGTTAGGATCTTTTGGTTGCAAGTAATACAAACAAAACTCAAGCCCAATTAAACAATGGATAATTTATTATAAGGAGAATTCCAGGGCAAGAATGCAGCTAGCTTCCGAAGCATGTGGAACTCACTGCTCTCTTTGTCTCTCATCTCTGCTTCTCAATCCCTGGGTTTCCTTTTTCTCTTATTGCCATAGCTTTCTTGGCTCCTCAGTTCATATGAAAAATGAATGCACAACACTCCTAAATGGTTAATCTTCTCCAATCAAGATAAAGACATGAGTTTCTCCCAAGCCCAATTCAAATTCACGGAAAGACTGTGTTCAACCAGCTGAGTTTAGGAAATGAGGATCAGGTAATAGCAGAGTGTCTACCTGTGACTCTATGGTTTGGTAGTGGGAAATGAAGGAGGGTTAGTCACTGAAAAGGTTACTCTGTAGATGCATCAGTCAGAGTTCTTCAGAAAACAGTCTATATAGTGTGTGTATGTGTATGTGTGTATGTATGAAGCCCATCCACATTAAGGAGAGCAACGTGCTTTACTGGAAGTCCACAGATTTAAATGTTAATTTCATCCAAAAACATCCAGAAACATCCAGAACAATGTTTGAGCATATATTTGGGCACTATAGCCCAGCTAAGTTGACACATAAAATTAACTATCATGGATAATCAGTAATGTCTGCTGAGTTAAAGTATTTTTGGTTGTGTACTACATTAGAAAATGATTCTTTCACTCTTAACTTATTTTATCTATCCCCCACTCCCTACCTCTGACAACCACCAATCTGCTTTCTATATCTCTGAGTTTTTGTGTTTATTTTTTAATTCTCTATATGACATCATACAATATTTGTCTTTTTTTGTCTCACTTATTTCACTTAATATAGTCCTCTGAAAGCCTATCTATGGTTTTGGTAAATGGCAGGATTTCCTTATTTTTATGGCTCAATAACATTCTACTTTATATATGTAACATTTTGTTTATCCATTCATCTGTTGATAGATATTTAATTTGTTTCCATGTATTGGCTATTGTGAATAATGCTACAGTGAACATGAGAGTGCAGGTATCTTTTTAGAAATGGTGATTTTTTTTTTCCAGATAAATACCAGTAGAGGAATTGCTGGACCATATGGTAGTTCTATTTTTAATTTTTTTTTTTAAGAACCTCCTTACTGGTTTCCACAGTTTCTGTACCAATTTGCATTCCCACCAGCAGTGCACAAGAGGTCCCCATACTAATTTGTTTTTATTTTATTTAACAGCTCTGTATGGAAGAGTATGAATTAGTAAAGAAAAAAAGCAAATACTTGTCAAAATTCTTGATCTACATTTCATAGAGCAAAGACCAGCTTCCTTCATTTTTAATGATTTTGAATGAGCAGTTTATATATATTTTAAAAGTCATCAGAGGATCTGATTCCCACATCCCTCACATTTGGCATTCATGTTCAGAGTTTTTTTTAAAAAAAACTCAGCACATATCATCAATCTCTTACCATTCAAAGCAAAATGAAAGCCAAGTGCTCAGTGCTGCAATATGTTGTCAAAACACCTCTGGGGATCTTTTTTTTTTTTTCTTTTTTTTTTTTTTTAAACCGGCTTAAACTGCTCTTATTCTACCATCCTAAACACATGCTGTTTTCCTCAGATCTTCAAATATGTTGACTTCTAGAAGAGGCCCTTTGTCTAGTGGAGATAGAGTGGAAAAGTGAGGGAAAATAAAGAGTTGTTGAGAGCCAAAACAGAACTGAGAGAAGCATGCATCCTAATTATATCTGCTATATACCTAAGTAGGGAAAGTCACATTTAAGCCACCATATTGTTGATAATTGAAGCAACAGGAAGTTTATTATCATACTGAACTCTGAATTGAGGCTGTCCATGTAATATACATCTGGTATTCTGCAAGCAGCTCTGAGTGTGGCAACTTTAAATGGTAAATACCAAAATAGAAAGAAGCCAAAGAAGACTTTTCTATAATCATGTCAGCTCCTTGCCCTGGTAAGAAAAAACAAATCTTAAAACAAGAGAAGTTTTCTTAAATGATACAAAATTTCATTACAAGGTTAGTGCTATCTATTTCAGTTATGCTAAATAATCTCACTCACACACACAGACACACACACACACAAAATAAATAAATAAATAAATAAATAAATAAATAAATAGGGAAAAGATGGTAATTTCACCATGTAGAGAATACCTTTGTAATTTTAATTTAAGAAGCTAAATAATTAAGGGATGAATCAGTCCTAAAGATTTTAAGAGTTGAGTAGCTACTTCCAGAAAATACTTAATAGAATATTGTTTTACATTCTCTGCTTTTTCATTAATTTCATGCTGTGATAGCCAGAACTGGAATAGAAGTCTCAAGATGCCAAATACTAACCCTGGATGGTAGGAGGGATTTGGGCTAGTGCGGTGGAGGTGTCAGTCCTGGGCAGATGCACCCAAGTCAAGTTCAGCCTGGCTGTGCTTGCCTGACAAGCAGTGGAGCCAGAGAAGAAAGAAGTAAGACAAAGCAAAGAAAACATGAAGCAAGCTGTTGATTTGCAGGTGTGACAGAGAGAGGCAAGAAGGAATAAATCAGCACGAATGGCTCAGAAAGGTCTTATTCCAATTTTATTTCCGTAGTATTTTCATGAAATGACTACGAAAGGGGCAGAATCAGTGGAGGTTTCTCCTCCTCAGCTCTTTCTGCTCTTTTAGGCCCATACCCTGTTGATACACACAAACAACTCATCCCTGAGGCCTTTGAGGAGAAGGTAAGTGAATATAACTGGACAAGGGGCCTAGAGGAAAAGCAATTTTTTTTTTTTTTGTTAATCCTCACCCAAGGATATGTTTTCCCATTGATTTTTAGAGTGGAAGGGAGGGAGAGGGACAGAGAGAGAAATATCAATGTGAAAGAAACACATAATTTGGTTGCCTCCCTCACTCTCCCTGAAGGTCGGTTTGGGCCTGCAACCGAGGTACAAGGTACATGCCCTTGATCCTTCAGTCTTGAGGGCTGACACTCCAATCACTGAGCCAAACCGACTAGGGTGAGGAAAACCACTTTTCATCTAAGGGCAGTTCCTGGCACTCATTCTGCACATGTCTGCCTTGTATAATAAGTACTTGGTAGTCCTGCTTCAGTAAAACTCTAAGTTTTTGGTCTCCTTGCTTTTTTTTCTTCTTCTTCTTCTTCTTCTTTATTTTGCTATCATCAACAAATCAACAAATGACAAGTGTTGACAAAGATGCGTAGAAAAAGGAACCCTCATGTACTGCTGGTGGAAATGCAGACTGGTGCAGCCACTATGGAAAACAGTATGGAATTTCCTCAAAAAACTAAAAATGGAACTCCCATTTGACCCAGTGATCCCACTTCTAGGAATATATCCCAAGAAACTAGAAACACCAATCAGAAAGGTCTCCTTGCTTTTCTTCTAAGTGTTTGCTTCTGAATTAATTCTTGGATTCTTTTTAAAAATAATGAATTCTAAAGCTTTGCCTTTCTCTTAATTCTACCCAGTTCTCTATTTTTTTACCTCACTATCAGAAGCCTTTATTGCAATGCACAGCAAGAAAAAAAGATAAACTCAATCTATGATATGCTAGTCTTCTTTAGTAGTTAGCAATATGCTGGGTAATAAAATATCACATTTGAAACTCTAAAGGGCAGATGGCTGACAAAGAACCTGTCGATCCCTTACCTATATCCTTGTGGCATTTTGGGACCCAACCTTAAGAAAAAATATTTTAATTGTGTCATAATTTTATATACAAAAAGATATGTAGCATAAATGCAAATTTTGATGCTTAATAATAAAACGAGTACCTGTGAACTTACGATCTAACTTAAGAATGAAGCAAAAATATTTTTGTTTCAAACAATGTTTAACTTATCAATATTTTTTCACAGATCATGCTTTTGTTGTATCTCAAAAGTCAACCCAATTTAGGTTGACCTAGTTCTTTTATGTTACCTTCCAGAACAAGCATGTCAAGCTCAAAGGCTAACTTGGGTCAAATAAACACTGTGGGCCACAAAAAAATAAAAG